TAAAAATAAAATATAAAGTATAAATAGATTTTGATCATTCGCCAATCAAAATGACAGATTGGTTTATGTTCATAATATATTACATTCCATACTTTGATTACAATAACTGTTACATTGTAATACATTTATTATTTGATAGTACTATTTCGTATAACTGTCTATTATTTACATAATACACTATATTCATCATGACGAAATCTGATAAAATCGTAATACAAAAAGAATAGACAAAAACTGTTTGATACTGTTCAGTTGTATTACTTCGTAAAGATTTTCTGGTATGGATAATTCTTTTCTGGCCTCTATAAAATGTGAACAATAGGCGATAATGTGCTTAATTAATGAACGACTGTTACACTTTGGGCATAATGGGGGTTTCATCTTAGAGCCATCAGCAAAGTGCAGGGTAGCGATGTGTTGTGCATTTTTAATTTAAAATCATCGAAAGAGATTAATCTTCTTCAAAAAACGATTTTACGTCAAGTAGTTTTTCAACGATTTTAGCCGTAACAGTTGACTTACGAATTTTCTAACACTGAGCAATTATCGACAGGCTACAGCTCATACTAACTTATTATTATATTACATTGCCAAATTATAAGTTTTGATTCCTTCATTTAGTCCTTCCATTCAAGATGTTTATCAGTTGATAATTGTATACAATATTTATATTGTTATTATTGTTATTATTATTTTTTTGTTGTGTGTCCTGTGCCTGCACCATTTGATGTAGTAAAAATGCTTCAATCTTCTGCAGTTTTGAGAGTTTTTTTCTGGTAGCAATTCAGATCTAGTTGGTACTAATTGGATCAAAAGTAAACAATTCTCAGTTGTTTTCGAAATTTGCCAGACAAACGAAAAAAATGTATTTAAAACAGTCATTTTTAAGCAAATTTAATTGTAGACAAAATTGTTTTTTATTTGTTTTGTACCTTATTGAAAAAAAAAAAATGAAATAAATAAATGTTAAGACTTGAATTATTCACTAAATATTTAAAAGCGATGATATAGTTTTCAAAATATTTTGGATTATTTGTGCTTAGTGTAATGATTTAGAATTGTTGGCTCTACATATTTATATTTTTATTTGTATATGATTAAATTTTTGTTTTCGAGTAAAAAAGCTTTACAATTTACTAGTATAGTGCCTATAAGGTTAATTTGACGTTGTTCATGCCAGTATTAAGAAATATCAAAAATACACATAGTCGTAATATAATAAATATTATAGAAATAACTCTTCACTATTGCACCAATGATATTCAAAAACAATTCGAAATTCGAAATCAAATTGTACCACACTTAGCAAGCAAGCTCGAATCTCCAAATTATCAAACTCCATGAGATAAATCAAAATGTATCTCAATTGCCACATTCACTGGACATGCCAAGAAAAATTGAGGTAGTAATAAACAACAGGCTTCTCATTGGCCATTCACTGCAAATATCACACAGCTATCTAATGAACAAAGTAGACCCGCCAATTTGCTTTCATATGGTGTCCAACTAACTATCAAAAATATTCCAACGGAATGCCTCACACGCGAACAGTTCGGGGAAAAGGCCAATCTGTCTGAGAACATTTCCACGTCACTTACACATTTCCCAGACTCAACTAAATCAATAGTCGACTTCATCATCTCGTCAAAATTAATGAATAGACTGTAAAATTAATTATTGTACAAGATTTATAATCTTTTATTGTACACCAGATACTGTAAATATATTTTGTAAATCCCTATGGTCTTATTGCTGCCGAAGGTTAATTCAAATTAAAACAAAAATATATATATTATATCGTGAGTCCGCGGAAACAGGGTACACTTCATCATTCATTACCTTCAAAAAATGTTCAATTCAGCTGTTTGCGGAACATTCAACGCATTTTGAGCATGCAAAACACAACAACACAACTCTTTTTTTTTTTAAATATTAACCAATATTTTGGTTGTAATGTTTGGGTTGATCGTTTTTTTTAAAGTGATTTTGATCCATAAACTTGTATTCTAAATCAGAAATCGTCAAAGTTAGAGGTAGATATAATTAAAAAAAAAAATTTAATAACTAAATTTGATTTTTTTTTTTAATTGTTTGAATTGTATATATTTAATCCATCTAAACACCATGAATGAAAATACAATCAAACTTGTTACAAGATTTGTATAACAATTTATAATACAAGTTTTACCATCAGCATTTTATATCTAGAAATTAAAAATTTTTTGCAAAAAGCAATACAATTACATTGAAGAATTAAAGTTAAAATTTAATGAAATAGATACTCAAATGTATATTAAAGATTTACCTTCAAATAATCTTGTTATTTTGTAACTATTTAAAGCATGTTAATCTTAGAAACTTAAGACATTCCTAATTACTTGAATAAGTATCACTTTCTATGCATGATTACAAATTCAAAATATTTAGCCTAATTTTAAATTATTTATAAAACATCATCAACATACATATCATGTATGTATATATTTTTTAAACTGGATAGGTATTTTAAAATGTAATTTATGTGAAATAAATAATTATTTGTATACTCACAAAACAGCAAAAACTCTCAAAGTTATATGCTTAACTTTAAATGTTGTCTTTTTATATCATCTTTAGTATACCTATTTATTTATTTTTTTTGTTGATTATATGTATAGAATACAATTAGGTTTATATAGGACAAATTAAGATACTTATACCTACAAATAATATACGAACAATATTGATTTAACTATTAAATTGTACATAATTAATATTTGAATAGTTAATAATTTATTATTTTTACTATTTATTTCTTACAATTGTTATTAAATTTAATGCAAATCAATTAAAAAAATCAAAATTTTGCACAATGCATCCAGAAGATTGTACTCCGGACCGAATTTGAACATTGAGGCGCTAAAAAAAGACGATAATTTTTACTATTGAAAGCTGGATTTTTAAAATGTTTTTAAATTATTAATTTAAAAAAAAAATCTTTTTACGTTATAACTTATAATACTAATATAGTTTTTATTAAATATTTATTATTGTACATTTTTACCTACTTATTAGTTATTACATCACTATAAACAATTAAAAATATTTAAATAAAAGTGATCAGCACTAATATAATTCTTTATATAAGCCCATTAAGAGACTACATTTTATAATAGTTCATTGTAATTGTTTACTTATATTTTTTCCCAAAAAAATCTAATATATTTTCATCACGAAGTCAATTCCTATTTTACTAAATAATTTTAAATGGAATGAATTAAAGAAACTAGTGGTGTTGCTGTATTTTTTACAATGGTCGATATTCGTTAATGTAATAATGAAAACCTATTACAAATGTATAACTATTTTTATTTGTAATTTTCCCCCTGACTGAGCAAAATTTAAACGTTATTCGGTTGAAATAATGTCAATAATATTGTGATTGCAATATATAGTTCTACATTGAATATTTAGTGCAGATTATGTTATAGTATTTATTTATGTTATTTATATAAAAAAAATTACTGAAACACAAATGATTGGTTAGTTAAAAATGTCGATGTGTTATTACATGTCAGTGGTTTGTAATGTACACTATTATTTATATTTCAAATAAACTATTATTCTAAGATTTTATTTTTTATTTAATCAGTTGTATCTTATGCAATTAAAATCTACACTCCGAGTAGTATAAATATTGTTTTTATTTAATTATTTTTGTAGATATTTTGTTTTGAAATCACAATATTTTTGATTAATGTATTCTGAACGCACTGGACCGTTTGAATACAAAAAAAAAAACAAATTTCTATTAATAATTTACATTTAAACATTCAATAACATATATATAGCTAAGTTAGATGTATTGATAAAATAGTGAGATGAGTTTTCCAAAAAAACATTCTTATTATTATATGTATACAAAAGTAAGTGCATTCTATTTAAATCGCTTACTGTAGTTGAGCTAAGAATTTAACTACCTAACCATTAAAGTGATACGACCATACAACTGATTAATTTATTGAAAATGTGTGTAAATATTTTTGTGGTCAGTTGCTATGCAACAGTTGCCAACAAAATAATATTTGAAGTATACTTAGGTACCGTCCTTCTATCCTTATTTCTGTGAACGACTAAAAACGATTTTTTTCTGATGTATTTTCAATTTATGGAACTTTCATTGTATTAAAAAAAACTTTTAAGGTTTGAATGCTGAAGTGACTCCAATAATTTATTCTTAAAAATTAATTTTGTACCGTTTACTGTTATATTTATAAATGAATACCTATCTTAACATTATGTAATAAAACTTATTGTAGAGTGTCTGCTGTGGTTGAAAAATCAAGTTTCATTTTAATATATTTTAATATACATATTGAAATAATTCTAAATTTCATCAATACAACTTCATACTGAACTCTGAAGTTGACTATTTATATAGGCACCTCATTATTTTGAAATATTTTTAGTCAAATAATAACCTAATATTATCTAATTAAATAGAAATAATAATTAGAAATTTAAATTGTTTTTTTTTTGATATTGATCATTATAAGTTTATAAATATAAATTATTTATACATAATTTTAACTTTTAGACTATAATATTTTAGTACTTATATAATAGCTGAGTTTATTTTACAAAACATTACAACTGTAAAATGTTAATAATTTACTTCAAATGACATATTGTTGTAGGATAATAATAGGTAGGTGGTGTATTTAGACTCAAGAGTTAAAATAAAATATAAAATACCTTTGTAAAATTAATTAAGTTTGTACTGTTCACTGTTCACACCAATTGAAATGTTTTCAGCTATCGATTAGCTATCTGATCGATTGAATGTTTAATATACATTTAAGTGATTTTTATTGATATTTTCTGCAATAATTAAGTATTAAATATTGGGTTGTTGGTGGTGGGTTATTGTATAGTCATATACGTTTCACGGTTGGTAAATTGTTTTGTATGGTTTATAGTGTTTATACAATGTTGATCGTCAAGCACTTGCTATTAAAAATATGCCAATACCTCTTAAAAATGTACTTGATGAGGCAGTGAAGATTATAAATTTCTTAAAATCTCGACCATTGAGCACAAAACTGTTCACAATTTTGTGTGAAGATATGGGAAGTATGCAAAAATCACTACTTTACCATACCGAAGTAAGATGGCTTTCTCGGGGAAAAACACTTGTACGCTTACTTGAATTGCGCAATGAATTGTACGTTTTTTTCACCGATCACCTATTTAATTTACAGCTCTGCAGACTTACTGATAAAATTTGGTTATTTCGACTTAGTTACTTGGCTGGTATTTTCACAAAATTAAATGAAGTGAACTTATCAATACAAGGTAAAATGACACCATTTTCACGGCAAATGACAAAATTCGAGCTTTAAAAAAAAATTAAATTTTGGGCTGTGTGTTTTTTTCAACATAAAATTGATAGTTTTCCTTTGTTAAGGGAATATTTAGAATCGATTGATGGTAATATTGGATATTTTGATGAAATATATGGCGAAATTGAACAACATTTAAATGAAATACTATCGTCATTAGAAAAATATTTTCCAGATAGTAAAAATATAGAATTGATCAACGATATAATTGGGTTAAAAATCCATTTTTAATCAACGATAAGCCCGAAGATTTATCTATAACGGGAGTATGAAGAATTTATTGAAATGACCAATTCATCTTTAAAAATTGTATTTGATTAAATAGCATTAACAGATTTTTGGTGCAGTAGGAGTATTACTAACGAATATCAATCTCTGGCTAAAAAAGCTATCTTAGCACTTCTTCCTTTCGCAACAACATATCTATGTGAAACTGGATTTTCATCATATGTATCAACGAAAACCAAATATCGTAATAAATTGGATGCTGAAGCAGATATGCGCATTCAACTCTCGCCTATCAAGCCAAATATAAAAATACTGATCAATAAAAAAAGCCAACATCATGGATCACATTAATAAATAAATAAATTGCTAAAATATTATGTTCTTTTTTTCTTATTAAATTAATATTAATTAAATAATTTGTGTATATTTGTATTTTACAGAAAATAAAAATCAAAAGCCAATCATTTACAATTGACATCATTTTTTATGAATTTTTGTTGTCTCATATAGACATTTCTGATTTTTGGGGCTCCGTAATTTTTTTTTAGGAACTTAAGGGCTCCGCGAACAAAAAAGTTTGAGAACCGCTGGTTTATACAATGTTGATGTTGGTGAAGTCTCAATTTTCTATAGGTGTATAGAATTTCGATAAGATAAACAAATTCTCTATTTTTTTGCGGCTTGGACACATTAAATTATCTATACTTTTGTCTTAGAATTGCATTTTTGCTTGGTTTTCAAGTTATTGTATTGTGATAATGACATTTCTAATATTTTATTTTTTATTTAGTTTTAGATATTATATAGTAGTACACAATAATATGTTTGTTCAAGTGTATATTGTATACCTATGTATTTTTTTGCTATACAGCTTCATTGATCGCTATATAATATAATACTATATTATGTTGTTATAGTAATATGCCAATTCACTTTTCTACATTTAACAAAGTAACAAAATTACACAAATTTTATTTAGAGATTTTTTCAATAGAAATTGTTGTTGAGCATCAATCTACATTGAATATAAGTACTTACTTAAGCACTCAGTAGTTATTGCTCTTAGTAATGTTTCTATACTTTTGGTTTAACACGAATTAAACATTTGAATACAGAACATAGAACAGTTAGTGTATGGCTTAAATTATTATTCGTGCATGAATAAACAAAATAAAATGTTTGCAGTATAATGCATTTTTAATGCCATGCAATGGGTTGTACATTATATTAAAAATAGTTTGTGTAATTTAGGAAATATGCCGTTTTTATTTTATAAAGTAGATACTTTATTTTAGTTTCTGTGCGGAGCAAGGAATGTATTGGTTTTATAATTGTGCGTGTGTTGTGTGCCTTTCATCACATTTTCGAGCTAAAAATTTGATTTAGTATATAATACTATAAGATCCACAAATACTCAATAGCTCTCAACGACCCAACGTTAACAGCAATTGCTCGCCACCACGAGAAGCAAAATATGTCTCTATTAAAGATTTCTCAAAAATAAACCTCAACCGCAAACTACCCATCAACGGTTTTAATGACAGTGTGGTCAAAAATCTATTTAAGTCTAAAAATCCTTCAATTAAAACATCTTTGGACTTAACTTACACTAACTCTGAAATTATGGCCAGCTGGAAGGTTAGGTAGTACACAGCTTACAGGCTTTGACCTACCGGCTACCATGCAACCTGCGGTCCACACTTAACAGAGTCCATACTTCCAATGATAGATTCCCCCCCATGAGGCATAGGAAACTCACCAGAACGCGATTGCAGCGAAACTCATATCGCATTCGAATGCCCAACCAGCTCCTATCAGGGACCCAAAATAGATTGTCTCACAGCCTCACTCACACATTTATTCAGTGGCAGGAGAATCTAGATCTACAACTCTAATACCAAACTTAATAATTTACTGCCTTATTAATTCGCTGTTATTCACAATATTATTATACATTTTATTTTATTTTATTTTTTTCATGTTACATTTTTATCATTAGTCTATTGCATATAATCATAAGCCATACACTAAATAAATGAAAAAAATATTTAATATATGGGAGGATTCTTGTAATACACTTAATCGAATTGGTAGTATGAGGTATAAAATGTTATACAATTCCCAGTATTTTTTCACAACTTTTCTCCAAAAACTGCCGGAAAGTGGAAATATTAATAAAATAATACTTAAGAGAAATTTTCAAAATATGTAGATTTATAATTTTAAGCTACCTATAAGATATAGCTTCTATTCCACGAACCTTTTTGCTCCTTTTTTACGGTAAGTTGGTTATATTTACTTGTAAGACGCTATAAGTGATATTTTGGAACGCAAATTAGATTCACCTTCCAAAGTTCCAAATAGCGATGCTTTTACGCCAAATTGTTCGTATCGCAATTATTTGACATTGAATTAAAATTTAACCCGTCTTTACAGTGACCTATACTCGACGATTATCAAACATTTAAATCCTACTGTATATTATAGCAAGTTTCCTTTTTTTTCTTTTTACTGTTACAGAAAGTGCAATTGTTACTCAACTTGGCAAAGGCTATCTCAAAAAGTTTTTATGAATATACATTTTTCATTTAGTGACGTTCAATACAGTGAAAACATTTATAAAACATTTGGAACTATATTATGGATATTCAACATAACGTCAATGGCGTTGGTATAGGTATACCTACACTACCCTCACATGAGTGTTGTAGTTCAAACTTCCAGCTGTACAGAAGTTTTAGATCTTTGCACATGGTCAATAAATAACTCTATTTTATTTTCACTGTAAAGCTATGCGATGAAAGATAATTTTTTTTTCAAAATATAAAATCATATAATATTGTTAGCACTAATTGAACTGTTTTGATATTGAGTGTATTTGACTCGATTATAATATAAAAGCTATTTTTTTATTTCCTTAAAAAAAATTAATGAACAATTGAAAAAAACATTACGTAATATTTTTTTAAACTAATGCAGGGGAAATAAGTTGAGTTAAGTTGGATTAATGTTTCTTTGTTTATTTAATTAGCAAATAAATGAGTATATTATTCAGTTAAAAAAATACAACCAATTGAACTTGAATTAATTAACTTGATGTCTTGTTAATATCAATAATATTCTATTCATGCTGAATGTTTAATGTTATTTTTTCGAAACCAAAACTTTATCAAAAGATTGTTCTTTTTTCAGTTTCACTTATTTGTGAAATTAACTGTAATGTTATAAGTTTTAACAGCAATCGTCAAAAATATGTTTGCTAACGTCGGTCTTACAGTTATCTAATACACTTATGAAAAACAACTTTATTAGTAATTTATAATTGAATAATTGTTATACCTTTGTTGACAATAATACAATTTCAATTAGGTTGCATTCAATTAAGTATGCCAATTATTGAGTTAACTCTGCTGTTAATTATGTATTTTTATAGCAATCATTACGAATTATTTTTGAAGTTGTATAATTAAAGTTTTATTAAACTGAAATATATGATACTGATAAACAATGATTCCATCTATTTGAAAAAATAAATATGATGTGAAAGATGTTAAACGACTTTCATCGTAGTATAATAGAATAAACAAATCTATTTTAATTTATGTTTTTACTAAAAAAATTAAATTAAAATACGTTTTAAAATTTTAAATATAAATGTGAAATATTGTCGAACATGGGTAACATAAATAATCAAGAATTTTGTTAAAAGGCTTTTGTTAAGCTATGTTTTTCAAGATATCGTTTTGAATTATTCGACAATTTGAGAACTGACCTTTGGAAAGTTTCGTCCGTTAAATTTCCAATTTATATTGAAAAAGCTGTTTGAAACTTTTAAATATTTTTTTAGTATGGTTTTGAAATTCTTTTTTGATTTCGTTGAGTACATTTACCACGTGTATTCAAGTACTTAGAAGCTAAAAGTCTAAAAAATCGGAAGATAACATTCTGAAATATTATTATTAATAACAACGTTTACTTGCGCTTGTTTGGTACTCGTTTTTCTGCTCGTCAAGGCAATTGTCTTGTATCGAAGAAGTGTCTTGGTAAGCAATCAGGGTAACATTGTTTCACGAATCAAAAATATGAAAAGGTATAAATTCAATATATATAAATTATAGTGTGTTGTGTATTCATATTATGTCTCAAAATACATTCCTTATTCTTTAAATTATCATAAAAAGTGCATATTGAAACGAAACGAAATGAATAATAATAATAAAAAACACTAGGTATAAAATACCTCTACGTTAACTAAATTTAACTGTGTACCATCTTATAAGTCTATACATATTTATAATAGGTGAGTGAGTAAAAAAAGTATATTTTTACACATGGATTTTTTTTCAAATCATGACTGTTATTGGATATCAACGAGAATCATAAATCGATAGTGGGAGAGCATATAAAATACTTCAAATGCCTACCTAATCAAGAGTCCATTCTTCCCCTTACAGATATTTTGATCTCTTCATAATAAAAAAAAAAAATGGTGTGATCTCTCGAATACCTAATAATATTTATCTGACCTTACATATTTTTAAGTATATTTATGTAATGACGTAGTTAGATTAGGCACTATATCTGGATACTATTTTCAGCGATTAGCATAATTAATCCTTAGCATGTTCTTATATATTTTTTGTCTACTCAGTGATCCACCTAATTACCAAAAAAAAAAAACACTAACCACTTATCCACTAAGACGTATACTTAGTATAAGGTATTAAGGTCTATGTATTTAATATAGAACGATAAGTGAACAATCTTATTGATATAATAAATATCAAACTACCGTCGTTTTTTTACTGATATGAAACATGTGCTGCCGTGTTGGTGCTTTTTATTGAAACAATTAAGGATTTAATAGTCCTGAAAGCCGTAAGGTATTTATCATTTATAGTCTGCGACACGAAAACCGGTCCCTGTGTACTGCAACCCGATAACCATGGGTTCTCAATCTATACAGCATACTGCGTGACTGTCACAGTGCAATTTAATTAATTACATTACGGACCTCTGGCCGCTAGGTTTGTGACGGGCAGGGGCCACTTTTCGGGTCTCCGAATATAGGTAAGTGTAATATTTTTTAGTTATGATAGCACTCATCAAATAAAGAACACAAAATATGGCAAAGCCACTTAGGCAATTGCCGACAACGAATAGGCAGTTATGTTTATTAAAATACATATTATGGTTATCAGTTTTTTCGTATAGTATTTTATCGTCTATGATCTGAACATTTTTAAAATAAAATAAGGCGGTTATGGTCTTAAAAAACGTAAATACTAGAAATAATATAAAGGTGTTTTGTGAAAAACAATGGGTTGCTGTCAATAAACAGGCACAAAAACAAAAAAATAATGATGCATACAAATGTGAACATAATCTGATGAGTTTAACTCTTGCCTCGGAGAGCTCAAAAGCTTAACATTGGTATATTTTTGAAAAATTGAGTAACTCATAAATGTAATAAACAAATTGAACTATACGTACATATTTTACAGGAAAAAATGACCTAATATCTTAAAATAATCAGTGGTTTTTTTGGTTACAATATGATCTACTTTAGAGGAATATTGTACAAAATGTTCAAGCCTTAGTTACACAAATTTAAAATTGTTTACATGTTTGATACAAAGTAATATGCAAATTTACTTCGTTTTGATGAATTTTGTCAAAATTTGAATTTTAAATTAAAAAAAATCGAACATAATATGTATCTATCTTTAATATTTCTTGTATACCTAGGTATCTAAAATAACAACTTATGAGAAACTTGTACTTATTACACTTTTAAGCTTTTCAACTTTTATTTTTTTTATCATCACTCATAGCAAAAAATTCTAAAAAAAATATGGAATATAATTCGATCGAAAACGAATTAGCTTTTTGGTAACTTTTATTGAATACACCCAGCAGAATTTTAGTATTCATACAACAAACGAAATCATATTAATTTGTAGGTGTAGGTTAAACGTATATTTATTATGAAACTGTTTTGGTTTTTTAAACCACAAATTAACACAAACTACAAAATATCGAAGTCTGAGGGGCGCCATGGCGTATATACCGTGCCATACAGTGCCCGTTTTGAGTGGATGTCGACCCGCTAGAAATAACATGGCCGTGGGGGGGGGGGCAGGGGGAGGGGACAGATGATGGACAGCTAACACTTGATGGGCCCAACGATGGGACGAAGTGCATTTTTCGCCATTTATAGAGTCGTACTCGCCACCTTCTAGTACACAGACCAACAGGCAACGGCTTGTAGCCCTTCAGTGTCGCACCTTCTGTGCACACCTTCAGTGTCATCTTCCAATGCGAGTTCTTGCCTCCCCCGTCCGGTGGATAGGGTCAATTTTGGAATCGGCGGAACTCTCCTCCAAGCGTCATTGAATTTATGCCACAGTGAGTAAGGCAGGCTAGACATGAGGCTGCGGCGCCGTTCAATAACCGTCAACCCGCAGCTACCATCGGCGCGTTCAGGCACAGACAAATCACCGCCCCATCGAGTTGTATACGGCCGTAAAGTGTATTATATTAGACGTAATGATAACTTCAAACAGTGGAAAGTCTTAAATCTGCTCAAAAATAAATAAAATGTATAATGTGTTTATTTTGGCAAAGTGGATATTTAATAAATTACTTCGGTGTAAATTTTTCTTTGATTAATTGAATAGAACAAATAGCCGCTAATGTTTGATTTCCACGAAGCTACTAAAAATCAAAATCTATGTAGTGTTCACTGCAGCGGTCGCTGTACAGATCGATCGTTTAATGGCCCTAATCCGGCCCGCAACTATCATGTTATATAAAATTATTCTTATTTCGGCTTCAACAATGTTTTTCAGCCGTTATTAATCATATTATATGAGTGTAACGATATTCTCGGAAAGTAAGCTACCGATAACAGTATATAGCGAGTGCACGAATTCAAATTGGAATACCGCCCAAAATCCTTGGGGGATGCAATATTAAAAAAAAAAATGTCTCGGAAAATCCACGGACGCATCCATTTCAACAGATCGCGTATCGCGGCATCTCTCGGCCGCCCCCGTCCGTCGACCACGTGACACGCACGCGCTGTCCGAACTTTCGCATCATCCATGCCACCGAGGACTTCACACGTGGACGCGGCGGCCAGTCGTACCGCCGAGTCCACAGCCGACGCAACTTTCATTCCGCGTCCGTCGATCTACCGCGAAATCGTAGTTATCGCCAACGTCTCTGCAGTTGTAATTTTCATTCCCCCCTCCCCGCCAAGAAAATCAAATATTCCTTCGACACTGGTACGTACGTTTACTCTATTTGTTATTGCAACGTGCTATATAGGTTTATATTATTATGGAAATTAAATATTGTGTAATAATATGTTATACCTACATACTATTAGTACACAGTATCATATTATAATGTATATTATTCAAAAATATAATATTCGACGCCTTTGGAGATTAGTTTTTTTAATAATTTTTACACTTAACATCGTTAAAACCTTTTTTTTTAGATTTCATTATCGATGATTACATTTTTTTATTTTGTTTTTTTTTTTGTTTTTTAAGAATGTAACACATCCACGGGGGCTTGTACATGTATAGGTGGTTGAACTCGATTGCAAATCGGTTGCTCTTAGTTTTACTTTTACTGTTATAGATTTACCAAATAGGTAATTACCATAAGTTTTGCATATTTGTGGTATTTTCATTTGGTACACGTATTTTGCACACTTGATATTTAGGTTTTTTTTTTGTTTGGCTGTTTTATTTTACATATGATAGAAAAATAATATGGGAAGTCCGTACTTAAATCAATCATTGCAATTATATGTCATACGATATCTTTTACCAATGCATTCACCGCAGTGTTTAAAAATTGTTAGAATTTCGATATAAATGGTTCTACGATTTAATAATATCATTAGTTTTGATATTAAACTATATTTTTCAGAATTTTTTTGCTACATCGTTTTATTATTAGTCACATTCATTCTTATACGTAGTCATTGCTGCAGAAAGAATATTTTTCGAGCATTTTAATATTTCAATATCAAAGAGAAGTTATAATGTATGTTAAAGTAATTTATTTTTTGTAGTTTCTTAAAAATTAAATTGTCATGTATACACTATATAGCTAAGTTTATTATATAATATTATTTATTCACTACATTGCAGTTTCGTGTGAATATATATATACATATTGTACAATATAATTAGGTATGTGATGTAGATAATATATTCCTATTCTTCCACTCATATTACATAAAATATGTTATGATCAGCAATAATATTATAAATACATTTTATTCTCTCAAAATTGTAGACTGTAAATATTAACTGTCGAGAAAGTGCACAAAAATCGCAGTTAGGTTTTTGATTAATTTGCTTTTTTAGTATTTAATTTATATACAATTTTTTTTTATTAAAGCATAGCAAATGAAGTTTTAAGATGTATTGGGTTTATTATACTTGTATGTACTATTTTCCAGTATAGTTTGGAATGCATCAAATCTCTGAAGTCTGTAACACCACATGAACTGTGTTAAAAAATAAAATATATTATGAATCAATGAAACTAGGGTCTGTTCTTATTCGTTTAGTCCTTTTGTTCATTAATAATAAAAATTAATCTCAACAAAATATAAGCATTTTAATATAAATATAAATATAAATATGTATAATCTATATATTATATAAGCCAAAAACCACTCACTCATTCATCGCTGCATTTCAAAAACTACAGAACGTACGAACTTGCAATTTGGAATAGTGGTTCCTTTGAGGTTGTAGATGTGTAATAAGACAGAATTTTCTGATATTCACATTTTAAAAAGTGGTATCTAAGAAAAATCTTGAGATACGCGATGAACTTTTTTTTTAAATAGTTGCCATTAGCTGTTTGGACATATGGGGTGTAAACATGCACCAAATCGTCACACGTATGGCCTCGAATAAACATATTAGGTTAAAACAATCTTAGAACAATTTTTATGAGAATGTATTTATAAAATAGTTCTTCTATGTTTGTTGCTTATAGACTTAAAAACCTATCAGTTTTGACGAAAATTTCAGAGATTGTTCTTAGATGAGTTATCAGGAAAGTTTAGATCTAAGATAGAGCTATAAAATACACCATCACTGAGATAAACCAATATAACGAAGTATTTTGTATTAATTGATCATTACAAATGAGTTTCAATGGCCCCTATTTGGCAGGGTTAATACCAGGTGGCATACACACATATACATAATGGGCAAAAACTACTGAATCAAATTTTTAGATATGTCAGAAAAGTTAAGAAAGAAAGTAGTTTAAACCACGTTAAAAAATATACCAAATGCTAAATCCAATCATCGACTTGTGGTTGCCCATCTATGTTGAATTATTCCACAAAGCTAGGTTCACTGACTCCGATATGTCAGTGAACTGAGGTACACTAAAACTGAGATGCATTCAAACCGAGATACACCTATATAGCGTATATACTATACATAGAATTTGTTCCAAAAAAATCTCCACATGGGTGACACTGGGATATTCAGCTAGTAGTATTATAATACTATAATATGTATGTTTGACAAATTTAAATGGTGTATTATATGTAACAAATTCCTAATAAAATTGTTACAACTACAATATGTTATGCGGATATATGAAACCCGTGACGGAAGGATTTTTATGTGGTGAGGATTCTAAATCAATACCTTGTTGTGTAACAACAATAAATTGCAATTATTTTATTAGGACTTATGAGTAAAGTAAGTGGTCGGCAACTAGAAGCCCACGCATCCATTGTATACGGCCAACTTTAAATTCTACAATGACGAAATTTAATCGAATATCATAATATCAAAATAATCATATTGCATATTGCATATTGTATAAATATAATTGAACGTTGTGTTTTTTTAATAATTTGTAATACAAAATTTTTATTTTTGTCTGGCCCGTGAAATCTTTTTAATTTTTGAATGTGGCCTTGGAGTCCAAAAAGGTTGCCAACTACTGAGTTAAGGTATTCTCGTACTTCAAAAAATATTCAACACTATAATAAATATAGTTTATGAATATTGTTTGAGTTTTTTAAAATATTGATAATTCGAAAATGAGGTAACGATGGGAAAAAAAGGTGAGATGCAATGTAGGTAGTTTATCTAATTAAATAATTACATTTTAATTTACGAGTCATATGTTATGTATATTTTATCTAACCTTTTTTGATTCATTATGTTTCTATCATGTATTTATAATAAAATGTTTTTTTATGGCATCCGCTTAGTGATGTTAACTATCGTCAAATATCATAATATTGACCCCTTATGAAATTAAAAATAATTTACTCTCATTCCAACTTACAACTGTTACAAGCAGCCACTGTAAATTTCATATGACATACATAATACAAATAATAAAGTGATGTACGTATGAAAGTTGTTGGTGTACTATAGTAAACATTTTTGAATTTATTAAACTGAAGTTCGACGGTGAATATGTTATGAATTTTCGTATTTTTAACAAGTAAAAATATTCAAGTTCAACTTAAACTTTTTACAGTAGTAAAACAAAAATACGTACTTTATAGATTTGCATTTTTTTAATACTTACAAGCTCGATAACTTAATTTTATTGGTATATATAAACATAATACGTTATTTATCCTGCAATTTATATTTCATAAATTATTTACTAAAATTGCTGGTAAATCGGCATCTAATTACCACCTCGATTTCTACCAATAATATAATTTTTAAATACAAAATATTCCCCAATAGTTTTAAAAGTTGTTTTTAAGATTAATAATTGTTATTCATGGGATCATGTTTCATATAAAGTTATTAACAAAGAATTGTATACGGAGCTGGAGAAAAAAATCTCAATATAATTATAATACCTATAATTATTTGTTTCACAAAATAATTTTAATGTACATGAAAATTAAGAATAATGTAAAGAAGATCATAATTCACGATAACAATATACAGTTATATAATATAAAATATTTGAAACTAGTGTCTCTTTGAAAAATCCGTAACTATGAAACGATAGTATAAATAAAGTATAATGTATTGAAATTAAAGTTAAAATGTTTAAGGGAAGTTTTTGTTTTGATTTTTTAAAGAAAATATTTAACTTACTTTAAAATTATTGAAGTATTTAGCCAAATTTATTAAAACGGAATCATGTAACTAAAGTAAAAATGTTATTATAAAACTTGCAAGTGACATTATTTTATAAGAGATATAATTTGAAAAAATAAATATATTAAATTTTAATATTAAATAAGTATATTTTTATATTTTAATATAACTTAATATAGAATATAATGTCAATCATTTCATTTTTAATTTTACTTTTACGTAGTTATCAAACTCTATAACAATGTTTTTTAATATAATATAAAATATACATATTTGGTTAAAAATGACAGTGTTAAACAAAAATTATAAGAAGCAGTTCTAGTATGGTTGTACTTGCCTCGAGTGTACAATATTTTCTGAATTTTAATTAATAAGACCAGCTCAGCAAAATTGGTTAGTACTATATGAATATCTATAGTGATAAGTCGTATAAAGAAATACTCTCCCAATGGAATAATAGGTAGGAAAATGCATTTTATTTTTTGCATACTAAGGTGTCTTGGTTAAGTTATTTAAAGTAATAAAAAAATATAAAATTTTATTTTGAGATGCCTATTATTGTAAATGTGTATTACTGATGAAGTCCCTAGTAGTTGACACCTTTTGGTCACATCAGTGTATAATACATTAAATACAACGATCAAACGAATTATGTATTGATAGTCACATACTCACATCTCTTATAACTTAAAGGTGCTACGTGGTTGCACTATTATGGATTTTTTATATCTGGTGTTGGTGTAAAAATTATTTTTTTTAGGCCTACTTTACAGGTAAAGCCTATCGAAAAACAATATTTCCATAATTTTATTTTAATAAAAAATTACCGTTTTTGGTGGATTTGACTCCAATTAATATTTTTATATTTTTATGTAAATTCTGTATCCCGTTTTGTCGATCATACCTTAAATTTTATAAATTATTTAACTTATTTGTTAGAATTTTTGTTGAATTTTTTAAACTTTTGTGGGTATTTACAAAATTTTACCTACATATTTATACTACTTGCATTATTTTAATATATACCTATATTTAATTATTAGTGCAAAATGTATATTATATATTCCTATACAATAAAAATTTTTTTAAAACTGTATCCTCGTAACCATACTGGTGCCAGGAGGAGAATGTTTCAACCAGTTTTGTTAAAAAAAATGATGAAAATTAATAATTTTTTTCTACGTGTGAAATTCTAGTCGACTTTTTGGATTGCGAAGAATCTGACATGATGTCCACGAACAACTGTTAGTTATAGTGATCATCCTTGGGCCTATATAATTGTTTCCCGTGTATCCGTGTACATTATACCTACTGCCAATTCAATGGGAAACGCGGGAACGACAAGAAGAGGATCGATATTCTCCAAGCAGGACTCTACGGGTGAAGATGGCTCAACACGACACAACAAGCGGCTTTCGAGCAGGCAAAATACTTTTCTGGAAGAAGAAGAGTTTCCGCCAGAACCACCGGCAATACCTCCACCGGAACCACTGACTATGCGGCAGAAAGAGTTGCTCACTGAAATGTGGAAATTGTTAGAAGAGGACATCGCAAAAGTCGGCGTCATCACATTCGTAAGGTATATTACACAAATATTAAAATTTATTTTAGACATAACACATAGTGCTATCGTGAAAAAAAACTGTCTTAGAAATCTACATACTCATTTTATGTATTACGCTATTATAATATTGTAATATTTTTGGGAATTCACCAGGTGTTAGTGATTTTAAAATTGACAAAAACGATTATTGTGATTTTAATATTGGAATAATATTTTAACGGAATAGGTGGATTATTTATAAAAATAAAAACAATACTATTAATTACACATTGCGTATTTAAAAATAATACATTGGTTACTGGTAGACACTACTGAAATAGGTTCTTTATTTATTGTATAAACTATAAATACATTTTAAAATTATTGTTTGATGTTTTCAAATTCATGTGCCAGTGAAATATTAAACAATATTTAAATAGTATTATATATTTATATAATATTATAGTGCATACAATTATAGTTTTATATTAATTTATTTAGTCTTAATTGTTTCATGTTTGTAAATTTGGATGATATTATTATTCTATGAATGTTATTTAAAAGTTCAATTTTTGGTAGGTACATCACATTTTGAAAGAAACAATCACATATTATGAACTATTTTAACTAAAGACAAGTCAAATTTCTGTAAATTATAGTGGAATTGAAATATAATATATAAATATATAAATTGAACACTGTAAAATGTAATTTACGAGGTTTTATTTGAAACAATATAAATTGAAATATAAAAATCTTGGTTTTAAGTATTATAGGTACCTGCATTACAAACATAATTTTATGTAATGCATATAATTATATAATATATATATAGGGTTGGATTAAAAATTTAATAATTAAAAATATAGTTATTTGATGAATAAAATATTTTTCGTCATTTGAAATTGTTAATGGAAAATTCACTTTGAACTGTATGTATGCATTAATTTATGTTATAATGTTGTGTAGGTGCACATCTATTATTATATAATCTGGTTGAAATTAGTATTATGATGTAATATACATTAAAATATTTAATTTATTTGATAATGCCTCGTTGAACTCGTAAACTTTTGTTTTTTATTTACAAGCGATCTAAACATGATATGTTTGTGCAATGAGCATATTTGTTGTTAAATTTTAATTTGTGAAAAAAATCTTGAAAAATAGTCACTCATTAGTGACATTATTGTATCTAAATAATGGTACAATCTATTTTCTTTTGAGACGATGGGGAGGATTCCCAAACATGGTTCTTTCATCTTCCATATACCTTCAACTTACAAGCGAATGGTGATTCAGAAGTGAGGAGTAGTAGCTACGATAATACAATAATGACGGTTGGCTTTGTCTTCAACTATTTGCATATGGAGAAAGGAATGGAAAGCACGGTTTCTGGTATAGTAAGGGATATTTGTGATTAGACAAAGGTTTTTGACTGGAATGTTTGGATTTTTGGCAAAACCCAATATTTGGATGTCATACAACCATATAGGCTTGTTAGGGAGCTTGAAAACATTTAGTTTGTTTGTATATTAGTAATAGTTAGAATAATAAACTTAGATGATTTGTAAGTTATTGACATAATATAAATTGTGTACTTTGTATAACAACTATCATAAGATTCAATAATTTAATACAATCTAATGCAAAATGGTTGGAAATTTGATACTTTATTTTTAATACATTTGATTTATTCTAGTATTTATACTTGACTCTTAATTAAATTCACTAAAGAATGGAATAATTTGTAAAATTATTTTTAATCCTACTTCTTATTACATATCATAGAATACGTTTGTTGCCATATAGACATTTTAGGACTTTAGACACTCTTACAAGAGTATAATATCACGAACATGTTCTGCAAATATCAGATGTAAGTTCAAAGTAAAATTATAAAATCATTCTGATGCATTCCATATGCTCATGTGATTTATATATAAATTAGGTAGGTGTTTAATTATTAAGATATTATACTTACTGGAATTGGAATTAATAATTTATTTTACGTTATTCTATATCTTTATATTTTTATATTGTATGAATCATGCAGGTAGATTATGTTATTCAATCGGACAGTGAAACTAAATTTTTATTTTAATATTTATTCCTGTTGATTGGAAATGCAGTTATCTAAGTAAACCATATTAATGATATAAATAATTGTAAAAAAAATAAGATAGTTATACAATGTTAGGAATTATACTTAATTTGTCTAATATATATTCATTAGCTATGTTTATTTAAATTACTAGTTGATCATCATGTATTAAATATTAACCTGTATCCTGTCTGAAGTTGAACATTGTGTGAGATTGAATAAATAAAAATGCTGAACCGTAACTATTGAAAATATTAATTTACTGTTATGCAATCAATTAGCAAGTATATAGGTTTAGAATGTGGATTACATAACATTACACGATTCACTCAACATAAATTACCTAGCTGTCAAAATAATTAATTTGAATTCAAACATGTTATTAATTGCATCATATAATTTACTTCTTGAGATATTATAATATGTCCTTCATTGAATTTAGCGTTATTAAAATATAACTTAAAAATAGTGAACTGTTAAAAAATAACTTAATATATAAATATTATTAAGAATTATATAAATAAGTAAATAATATCTATAAATATTGCTGAATATTATAAACTATATAAATTTAAAAACCCTGAAAAAATCTACAATTTTTAATGCGTTTATAAACTACGAGATGAATTTTCTCTGATATTGAAATATTTGTCTGGACTATGTATTGAGTACTAACTAAACAATAATGTTCTTAATACCATAAGAAATACGAATTAGTTAACTAGACAGTAGACTTAAAAGATCGAAGGTCTTGTACACAGTACAGTATAATATCTTCTAAATAACATAATACTGTTGAAATTAAAAACCAACAATGACAATTCAAGTACCAATACGATGAGATAAATCAGTTAAGAGTACTCTTTCAACGCATAAAATTAATATTTTCAAAGAAATAACCTTCGAAGCTACCAAAATTAAGGATGGGGCAAAATATGGTATTAATAATTATAATATTTGCATTTGACATATTATTATGTACGAAAACTTAAAATTATTTTCAAAGAAGATTTTAAGTGCAAATAGCGAAATTTGCAATGCAAATAGCTATGGTGGAGAAGAAATATAAATAAGATAAAAAATAATAATTTATGCTCACAATCTCTGCTTGTATTTACTAATAAAATAATCAATAATTAATAAATAAGTTATGGTACCATGGAAGCATAACTATATCAGACAGAAAAATGTATTGAAAAATTAAACAAACATAATTAAATAAAAATCATCAATATTTATGAAGTGTATAAACACGGTTCTGCCAAACTTAACTGATAAAATTCTTGAAACTTGTGTTGGGAGCACATAGAAAAAATAAACTGGACAGAAAGTTGGTTTGATATTTTATTATTTTTATCAAGGAACTACGAAACTCAACTATCAAATATAAGATATATGAGGTTGGAAAGTTGTGGTAAGTGTATAACATCAAGATAAAAATAATTAAATTATGTCATAATAATAGAATGTGTGATTGTTCCTCAATAGTAAATAAGTAACAAATAAACAATAGGAACGGCTTCATTAAGAAAAAGTATTCATTATTTAGGAACAAACACGTATTGTTATCTCATATTTATAGGCGTCATTCTGAGATCATTGGAGAAAAAGTTACTGAAATGCAATCTAACATTTCCGGACTATGGTTAGGGTAAAATGAATACAATTTAACTTACATAGCAAACGCATTACTCATACATTTATTGATGTGGTATAATTTACGATATTCGTCCACAATCATTTAATGGCATTCAAAACGAAAACACTGAAAAGTCACAAGCTTATTTTAAATTATTCGGATTGAGTAGTATTTAATGGAAATTAAAAATAAATTGCTCGCGGTTAATTGAAAAAAAAACAATACCGGCACATTGGGTATGCAAAATCACTGCAGTCATGTAAACAAGTTTTTTCATAGTATTGTGAGTGTATTTTGTTTTAATTATGGATGACTGTATTAATTATACATTTTGACATTTTTTCTTTGTAATTATATTTTAATAATAGTGTATTATGCAAATCTGATTAATTATTACTACTTAATCGTATGCTAAATTATAGGTGAATAACATTAATTATTTATTTATGTGTATAGTAGTCTTGAGCAGTGAACAATGTTATCGATTTTCATTTCTTCTTGTATGGTGTCTAAAACAAATTATCTACTATATTAAAAATAATAAAATAACTCTATTTCACAATTTCCCAGGGGAACTGGATAGGGAAAATTAATCTTTAAAAGTTGTTGTTAATATTTAATGTTATTATTGACAGTTTTTATTGAATTAAAAAAGGTAACCTAGAAATCTTAATACATATTATAATCGATTTTACCAGAGGTTTCATAAACCTCAATGCCATTGGTATTTTGTTTTATTTATGTAAAGTAATAATAATAATTAAACTCTAACAATCTATTTTTGTAAATGGAAGAGTGATAATAACTAATAAGGGTTCCCAGAAAACTTCTTGATCTTGGGTGCCCTTAATGACTGCCTGGCGGACCGTGGCTGATAAACAAATATAGTATTACCTGTGTTTATCTGTAGCAAATCATTAGGAATTTACGATTCAGTAAATGTTCTAACAATATATACATAGACTAGTGTAAATCCTTTTTATTGTAAGTATATAAAAAATACGTATATTTGCTTCTATGAACGGGTAGATTAACATTTTATATTTTTTATAATAAGCACTTCATATTATGTTTCCATGGACAATTTCGTAATCAAGTGCATATTTTATAATTTGATGTTTAGTTTTTACTTTGTATATTGCTGTACATAACTTTAAAATGGAATTTATAACGTTTTATATTTTGTTATCTATAATTTGTGATATATCAAATGCACGTGTGCTTAAAATGTTTCACGGACAGCAGTTGACATTGCCACCAGTATCATAAACAATGCACGTTAATATTAAAGTC